TAAAGTGCAAACAGGAAGTAGATTCGGTTTTGCAAACTTGGATGTACATGTTTTCCCATTCAAGACCATGAATCTTTTCTCATATCGTAATATTATATAATGTGATGTAATGTGGGATAATAATAAATTATTTCTTAGAAAGACCATCTATCATTCCCTAGARTATCCTTTCTTTATTTAACAGTTTGCATTGGTATTCGTGTCCTGTTCGTCCGTACTTGACCTTTTTGACCCCTCTTTTTTCCTTTTTTGTTATGGTTTTTTGTTTTGACATCATTTGACACCATAAAAAGACACTTGKATCTAGACACAACTCAAACAAAAAGAAGCTTTTTCTCAAGCTAGGATGACAAGTGGTCTGAAATGGCAAAGGATTACTAACCAAGGTATATAACGAAGACTGGCTAAAGAATGGCCACAGCAGTACGGACCATGGGGCTGTCGGTCATGAGTGAGAAGGTGGTGTAGAAGCATTCTCTTTATAAATATATTCTGACAAAAGAGGACATTTTCTTTGAGAGAAGCAAACTCCTTAGACGGCGTGTTTTGTGTCAACTATTTTTTTTTTATTAGCATAGCCGCAGACCTTTCATAACAGTATACATTCATTATTAACTTTTATAAGTAGATTATTTTATATTGCGTCGTGGATATACAGCTCATCCAATAAAAGGTTGGTGAAGGTGTTGTTGCATAATGTTGAATGCTGCTTAACAAGTTTGGACCTCATGTATTCTAGTTAATGCAAATAACGTTAGCACAGATATTATGCTGGTAAAGCGTGTAGACAAAGTATACGAACTCATGTTCCATGATGCTTAACAAGATTGGAATTTATTATAGTGGTCATTGTGTTACTATATGCCGGAATAACRTGCAGACAAAGCTTAGGAATATTTCATATGGTTGAGACCTTTTGCACACTGAATTCACGTCGCCCATAGTGYAGTTCACGCWTGGTATGTGGCAACAAGCAACAAAAACTTCACCARCCGTACTTTTTTGAATAGGTGTTTGYGACATAGTCCACGCTCACYACCACTACATTGAATATTCTAAACACACAACTCTCAACTCACAAGCTGGTTTTTACGGAAGACGGGAATCTTATGATGTCTATTAGGGTTTACCCATAATATATCAGACAATGGGCCASCAGGAGAACCATCCTTAYTGASTACTCCAAATAGAGCATTTAGTCGTCGGATTCATCGGACTGTTTGGCTGGCAGTTGAATGCGTTGGCAAACTYGACAGAGTTCGATAGTGTTCCTTTAACCCTATGGAAAAAACATGAATGGAAAAAGAAAGAATGAGATTGGATGTGGGAAGTACTGGTAGAAATAGAATGAGGAATGGGAATGAAAGTAGGAATGGGAATGAGGAAAATATTAATTAAATTAAATTAACAAAAGACAAATTAAAATGAAGTAGAAACAGGAAGGAAGTGGCAATCAAAAAGGAAATAGAAATGGAAATGGAAATGGAATTGAGATGACAAATGAATAAATACAAACACRAAGTAGTATAGAAATGTAAATGGCAATACAGTTGAATAGCAGTAGGGGGAAAATGGATAAAAATAGAAAGGGAAAGTGGAAGTGAAAATGTATCAGAACGGTGAAAAGCTTCCTTATGGCCTTGCTTCTAGCTATAGAGCACAGCTGAATATCAAACCTGAATTCCGGTTCTGTGATTTTATTCAAGAACGATATTCTGTATTCATCTGTACCGTGATAGCATAAAGTCTGTTATTAATAACAGGAAAAAAAAATTATATTAGCTCAGTAAGATATGTATTGTATGTAGAAAATATCATGATCAGCTGGGATACACACTGCTGCAGCACAACACATTTTTAGTACACTGGATAAGCCTTTTCGTTTTTTGAGTTTTTCCTGCGAGACATTGAGACTTTCCATTGAAAAAATCTAAGCCTCAGTTTTTAACTAGTAAGTAATGAAAATTTACGTCATTTCCTCAACATTCTTATTGGTGCATGAAATTGGAAATGTCTAAATTTCTGACTGCATTGTTACAAAGCTAGTGGGCTGTGCTTAGTTTGAATGGAATTCGTACCGTTACCGTACCAGTAYTCTGACGGATTAAGAGAATTCAATGTATATGTTACTGTGATTGGCTGAGACGGTTGCTCCGTTA